TACATCATTTTCTTCCGATTGAATGTTGTGAAGATGCTAGATATGTGTAAGATATTATTCTCTATTTATTGATTCGCAACACTTCCAACTTAGAATAGAACTGAACGACACACAAGCTTATACACATCGATTGATATTCAGCGAACATATCGCAGATTGTAACCAGTTGATTAAGTATTTGTTAGTCTTTTCAATTTTTCGATGATAAGAAAATCCTATCTGGAAAACAAAGTCAGAAATTTTATAAGATGCACAATGGTTTGTCTGTTGAGCACAACATCCAACCTCTGTAGTACATTTCTAATTTCCAAAAAAGAAAATAAAAGTTCATCAATCTTTATGAGTGACTCATTACATAATGAAATTCCATTTGTTCTTCCAAAGTATAATTCAGAAAACTGAAACAGGGATCAATTATTACAAAATTATGCATTTTCATTTTGTAGCTTGACTTGAAATATTTTCTTGAGTCTACAACTCAAAATGTAATGTATTTTAGAATACTAAAATAGATAACAAATGTTTAATGACCAAAATTTTAGCAAGTGACTTCTTTTTACTTGAATAGTGGTAGGTAGTGAAATATCTTTTCTGTTTCGATTGTAATTTTGAGGAAGGTCTCATATACAGATTAAGGAACAACTACAACACATTTATCAAAATCAAAAGTTTAAGGCTCGAACCTTTTCTTTAGTATCATATTTATAGTTATTTTTGTATTTTGTATTGTAAGGAAGAGCATTTCAATTGCATATATAATTATATAAATTATTTCTCTTTCTATTAATTTAAAATTTTTTATTTTTATTTAGTGATATTTTGTCAATGATATTGACTTCATCGGATCATTTTTTGTATAAATAAGATGACATACAAGATAAAATAATATGTACATTTTATATCTGATGAAGTCAACGATATTGACAAAATGTCCCTAAATAAGAATAAAAATTTTAAACTAATGACAAGAGAAATAATTTACATAAGCATATATGCAATTAACATGTTCTTTATCAAAAATCAAGATTTTAGAGTCCTCTAAGGAGAGCGACTTTCAAAGAAATACATTGTTGTTCAATATCAAGTGATCGTCATGTTGCCAAAAAATTTTCAAATATGGACTCTAAAAGTGACCTGATCCATGTTCTAATGATTTTTGAATTTTCTCTTCCATGTAATACAGCTATTCAACCGTATGCTATTTCTGACAAACACCCTTGTTTGTCCGATTTTGTAGACGAGCAAGAAATCTTAGTATTACTGCAAACATTATTCCATGTTAAACATATCGATCACGGTGACACACAGCATTATACAATGATTTGGCTCGAATAGCATTCATTACGAGCTTACATCCAATGTATTGTTAGAGAAATTCAAAATCGATAAATTAAGGATTTGATTGAGGTTTTCTTTATGGTGTAAAACTAATCATGGGCAAGAGATTCATGATCGATCATTTTCACCATTGAAACGATTATGTATACTCCAAATAATATTTAACTTTCATTTGTTGCGCCAAAATATATTGAATCGAAAAATAATGGACAACATTTTTCATGTGTCACATATTTTTTTCTCAAGTCACGTAAAACATATCCCTCTAGATGATGCGAAACATCGAGATATGACTGCATGAATCTTACAACTATTATCATGTATGTATGTTGTTCTTTCAGCTCTAGTTGTCTCCATCTTGAAAGCAAGTCGTATTGAAAACGTGACATTTTTTTTCATAAAACCATTAGAATTCAGTTCGACTTAGCTCGTTATCATTAACTACGATTGAAGAAACTAAAATCAATTATTCAGAGATAGTGCAAATTATTTGTCGAATGCTACAAATCGTAACACAACATTTACTAATTTCAACTAGAATTTTTCCAGAGTGTTTTGTGAATAAAATATCACTACTATGTTAATTATTGAAATACACAGGTCGCACATTGATTCTCAGTACTACCGGTATACCGTGGTACTTATATAGAACCGACAGTGGCGCTTACGACTTCCATTTCCAACTATAAACGACTGTAGAGAATGCTTTCTAATCAAATTTGAATTTATCGAGAGAAAAAAGTTTCAAAAATATATTTTACATAGTTTAGATTTGTTGGTTTAACTATAAGACCTTTCATTTGACAAAAAATATGTCTAATATCCTTGTGTTACAATACATATCATTCCATTGTTAACGACTTTAATGAAAACTTCTCTTTTAAAAATCGTATTTCAACAAATAAAAAGAAATATATGAAGTAAAAAGTCTTATTAACTGAATTTTAATTAAATAGTATACTTGATTTGAACACAACCAGTTGGAAATATTTTCGTATCGGAATATTTAAATTGTTGTTCGATTGATTGTTGTCCAAATAAATGAATACCTTTACCAAGAACAACTGGAATTATAGTCAATATCATTTCATCAAGCAAACCTAAGTTAAGTAATGTTTTATTTAATTGAGCACCACCAACTAACCATATATCTTTACCAGATTGACTTTTTAATTGCTTAACAAATTCATAAACATCATCATTAATAAATTCAACAAATTCATTTGCTTTTTGTTTTTCATGAGAAAAAACATAATTTTTTTTATCTGGATAAGGAAAGTGACAAGGAAAACTTAATATTTGTTGATAAGTTTTTCTTCCGATTAAAGTAATATCAATATTTTCATAAAATGAATTATATCCATGATCATCATTATTTTCATTATTATATGATGATAACCAATCAATATTTCCATCTTCTCTTGCTATAAAACCATCTATACTAACAGCAGTATAAAGTATTACTTTTCTCATTCTAATATAAAATATGCCGAATAACTGATTTAATAAATTAGATAATTTATCTTGAAATAAATATATTTATTTAAAAGTCTCTTCAGAAAATGTTTTTTAGTCGTACTAATATTCATACTTCTATTTGATAAACAGTGTTTGCTGTCTCTATTTTTGGCTTATCTTTACTTAAATCATATATTGACTCTGGGATTGGTGTGATTTAGACAGCGAGTATCTAGCACGAAAGTGAAGACGCTCTCATTTAAATAAAGATCTTCTCTATTTTTTTATTTAATCATATTTCACCTGTTGTAATATTAGACTAACTTATTATATTAGGAAAAATATATTTTAATTATCGTCGCTTACTTTTTAATCGAATAATCATATAGAATTAGTTTAAAAAAGAATTAAAAATTAAAAATTGCATTGGACTCGTCGAATGATAATAACCAATGAAAAACAAACTCTAGACGGCGCACATTATTGGATTATTAAATAGTGACGTTAGTAGAAAAAACTATCTGTTCGTAAACTACTTTAGAAGAAACTGAGATAGATACTCATACTACTTTAATATGTTTTAAGATGCTTAGATATATTTAATGAGAAAGTTGAACCATCACCAATTTTACTAATATATATAAATAGAAAATAAATTATGGATATGGAAAATTGCAAATTGTGAACTTCATTTTTTTGTAAAGTTAAATACGTAAATGGTCCTAGGTTGCAAACAATTTATGAAAGACTCAACAAATCATGATAGTTCGAACTGGAGTTAATTGATAGTCTTGATATGTGCCTCCGAAATTACATAGCACATAACAACAATACATAAATGATGAATCGACAGCAAAAAATTACATCCGGAATGTAGAGTTGCATTAAGACCGAAGGTTTCTCTGACATTTTTTATTGAAATAATATCGAAAACAAGGTTTCACACATAGCCTTCATATTATTTTTAAGGTCTTCGCAATATTCATATATGTTTGCATAATTTAGAAATGAAGAAGGATTTTCATAAAATTATAATTCGACAGCAATGCTGATTGTCATCCATATGAGTTACATTTCTTTCAAAGAGACAACAAGTTCACAAAACTTCTCGTCTAGAGTAAACGTGCTTGGCATCTAAAGTTAAGTATATTATGAGATTAAAGTCTTCTCGTAAGTGGGCTGGATGCTCAAGTTGTACTTGATCCACTGTTTTCTTTTTATGTTCTGAAAAATTCATGGTTAATTTGTGTTTTTTGTCAAGCATATTTCTAAGCTTATAAATTTCTTACTAGATGAGCAAGCATGGTCAATCAATAGGCCTTTTGTAGAGCGTGTTTTACTCCATCTTTTCATGATAGAGACAAATTTACACACACATGTTACAGTGTAGAAAAACTTATTATAAAAATTGAATCAGAACGTCTGGTCCATCCTTTATATCCGAAAGAAAAAATAAAGAAGAAAAATGTCGATTGTATGAGAATGGTGAAGAAATATATTTCCGTAAAAAATTTTTCAGAATGTTTCCGTTGTCATCAAGTGACATTTATAAAGGATGGAATGTGAGAATCAGTGTGAAGCAAAGATTGATAATTAAGAACAAATCTCACATTGACACCGACATTATACGTCTGCTTGCACATTTACCCACGTAAGAAAACATACTGTCTTATTGATTATTTTATTGTTGAATATTTTTCATGGCACTATTGTTTTTTGTCGATGTATGCATACGTTTCTAGATACCATGCGATTGAGAAAAGACAGTTTTCATTTTACATAATAGTCAAATTGAAAGAACTGAAGAAAGGATAGAAACTTTGCATGTGAACACGGCATTGCATGACATTGTAGCAGATCGATAATATCGGGTTTTGAATCAGTAGTGTGCAGCCGAAATGAAGTCTACTGGCATAGCTTGAACGACAACCGACTGCTTATGTTCGGATTGACTATTCGGAAAATAATAAACTCAACCCCGAGAGAAGGCCGATTTAATTGCTTGACGACTCCTTTCTTTCTTTTTTTTCTACGATTCTGTCATTATTCATAGAAACAAAATATAACTTGAGAAATTCTTAGTTTTATTCTTATATAAAAGGTTCAAGACATTTTAAGCTATAAGAGAAGAGTTTTAACGAAAAAGTCGCATGAAGTTTTAATTTCAAAACGGTTAATTTGTATCTTAAATATTTAGAAAAATAATGTCTGGACGTAAAGAATGGCCTGAATTAGTTGGACGAACATTTGAAGAAGCACGTCAAAAAATTTCAGAATTTGATAGTAGTAAGTTTAACCATTCGATTTAAATCTATATTCATTGAAATTTATCTGATTTCTTCTATCTTTCGTTTTTATCCTAGATTTAACTCCGTATAATGCAAGGAATGGAGTTCAAAATCGAATGTACGATCCGACTCGTGTCGTATGTATCACAAATGACGACGATATTGTAACAGAAATTCCATCTTATGATTATCAATAAAGTACGTCAATGATGATATTAACCTGATTAATGTCATAATCAGACTTTGTAGTCACTTACACAAGACACACTTTCCTTGTAATTCACTAAATTCTTTGAATATAAATAATTGATTTTTATTCGTCTTATCTACTTATTTTTATTCAATTATAAATTAAAAGAAAGAATTGATATCATTAGTGTCTGAAGAAATGACAAAGCATGTTCTAGAGAAGTCAAAGCATGTGTTGAACGCCAAAACGTGATGTCATTGTGAGACCTGTTTCCCATCAACTCAGACAAATCCTACGAATATTATGGTTTGTTCAGTAACTTGTGAAGTGAATACGATGATTATTCATTGAGTGAGAAAGCATATAAAGATCAGCACTAGTGTCAAAACCTGTACAATCGTTCGATTTTCGCAAATATGACGAATTGACAAAGTGGATTAGTATAAAAGAAAGCCTAACTGGACAATGATGATCAAGTGACTACTGTCAGCGCATTTTTCGGAAATATGACATGGAACATGTACCTGTGATAAAAAAAGGTGACACATATCAATAAATGTATGGAAAACTAATCGAAAAACTGATTTGTATTGTTTATGTTAACTTGTAAGATATACAAGTTTTTCGTCAATCGACAAGATTACTATACATTATTGAAATTACTGTGAATTATAATAATTGTCAGTTATTTTTGTTAACTAGAACGTGGTTGACGAGAAGACCCACGCCTACACCCAAGTTCAACTATGCAAAACAGGAGCATTCTAAATTTACTTACTTAGAATCGAGTTTTCTAAAGATGTGAGTTCTACTTGATCGGACGTTCAAACAAAGAATGATCACTTGAAAGATAGAGATGGAGACAATGCAAATTACAAAGAGCTCATTTGGATCAGATATTCTATATGAAGTATGCCTAAGCGATAAAATATACCTTTTGTTATGATATTATATACAAACCAAATTCTATTTCACTAGTTCATAAGAAACTTCAAAAGACTCCTTTTTTCTCTATCAAATAATTAAGAATGGCTGCAAGTATTAGAAATAATGACATCGAGATATATCCAACACTTACATGAGCTATGAACACTGGAGAAAAATACAATAGAGGTGTATTTGTAGCTGAGAGAATATCTGGGCATGATTTGATTGCTCGTGGTATCCCTAAATATGCTGTTCACTGGAAACCTATGAAACGACTTAAAGAAATTGAAATTCTTATTACTAATAAAGAATTCTTCTATGAAGTAGATGTGTTTTGTAAGCGTCGATTACTTATACAAAGAGATCTAATTCATGGTCTATAAATGTATGAAAACAAACAACATTCTGAAATGGAATTGGTTAAAACAGTTATCAGGTACCTGAATATTTCATATTTGGAAGATGATTCATAACACGCTTGTTTAGATTTTTTTTTTCTAATTTTTTATAGTCGGTGCTATAGTTTGACCATGATCATCGCACTTAATCAAGAGAGATCTCTTCTTTTTATTTTAATAAATTTTTAAAAAATTTTGCATTCTAATCTTCTATTGTAAATTGACACGTCATCTTACTATAGAATGAGAAGGGCCCTATTTTTTAATATAACTTGCCACTTCAATGAGCAAGACGCGAAAGAAAAGCTAACAACATTTTTCAGATCACTATCGGCAACCTTTGGCCTAAGCTTAGTCTGATAAACTAGTTAGTCGACCATGTTAACAAAGTTTATCTATCAACTGATCGAAAACTATTAAAGGTGACTGACGATAGATCATCATTTGAACAGAAGAAATAGGTCATCTCAGAAACCGGCAGCAAGTCGAATATGACCTAGCTAATGTGGTTGATTATTGACCTTTATGTTCTGTCAAAGGTGTCTTAGGATGCTCATTCATGATAAAACTTACATCGCTAATTGTACCCGTTCCACAAAGAATTCTTAGTTTTGCATCGCGGAGAGTCCCCTAGTTTGATTTTACCGATGAAGTGTTCTCAGAATACTTTAAACTCGGCTTATAATACCAATTTCCATAGTCTTCATAACATAAAAGATGCAGTAGTTCAGCTTTGTCAGCTGCAGAATTGCCTCCTATTGACCATTGTGGACATTCTGAATGGATCGAATTTCGTGGGGCTTTGGTATTAGTGCAGACGTAGTTTAAAGAAAACTCTCACCCACATCCACACCTTATGTGCGCACTTTCTTCGCAAGTCAATCTTTCTTTCGTTTTCTAATCATACTTGATTTATCGATTGCGTGTTTGTGCATAGATAAAGAGAAAACGGCTAGCATGTTTGAGCAATATTTACGACTTCGTGTCTTGACATCAGCAAATATTAGTTATTCAACAGGTAGAAATTTATGTTTGTCAATTGATAGATATTATTTTGAAACGAATAGCATTCGATTATAGATGAGAAATTTCGCTTATGAAAGCATTTCTAGTTCGTAGCTAAAGTCAGACAGAAACAATTCTAGAATAAACGCAATAACAGTTTTGCAAAAAAAGAGTTTTTATCTGGAACATCTTCTTCAGTTGATGTCTTAGTCTTTGTGCAGTTGTAGTTGAATAATAATCGAATTTCTATTAAAAATTCGAAGATTCGCTATTTACAAATTGCTTCTGGGTGAAAATTTTTCTTGAAAAAACATTGAATATTTCACTCAGATATGGTACTACTTTCTGATTAGTTATATAAATAAACATTTCTATGTTGTATTTCGTTTCTTTTCAAAAAGCAACAATAGCATGAATGATGATTTGTTTTCGTCATACAGTATTGTTTACATGTGCTGCTTTATTTATTTTGCAGAACAATCTAATCAAGAAAACAAACAATTTCTTTCAAGCAGTTATTATAAAAAAATGGGGAATGCACAAAGCTTTGATCATCCTATGGATTCCAAGAATTATAATCTGGTCCGATGTGACAAATGTTATTGTAATGTTACTATACCAAAGCAAGCCTATGGTAATACGTGTGCATGTGGTCAATACGTCACTAATAAAAATCCCAATTGAACGATAAGAAAACAGCATGTGACTGGCTTCGGACCACAATGAAGAAACTGGTTTTCTTATTTATTTCAGTACTTTATTCCTGTTTTCATCTATATAAATTCATTTTAGAAATATCAATATTGAAAGATCGAATATCTTTTACCAAAAAGATTCAGACGTATCGAGATGCTAGACAGTGTCCAACTGATTTGCTGAAAATGCTTAGCATTCTAACCTTGAACAACAAGCAATCGAAAAAAAATAGATGAGCAATTGATAGTCACTTGTAACAATACACAAATATCAAAGGATCCCAATCCAATAAAGATCTTTTATTGTCGATGATTGAAGTATTTTGGACCATAGAAAATAAGTGTTCGCATTGGGTGTGCGTGTGAAAGTTCTCTAGTTAATCTTCTACCGCATAGGCAGCCAGCGGAAAGACATAGAAAAACATTCTTTAGATTCACATTTTAGAGTTCTATGAGAATCTAGATGAACAAGAACTATTAAAAATGCTCAGCTATTTATAACAACAAAATATGATCATGATAAAAGTAGAATAAACATGAGAATTTCTCTTTCCAGTATTTTTAGTTCACTGAACATTTTTGGAATTAAATGAGACTGTAATGGTTAAAAATAGCTTTTGGCACTCTATCCAAATATACCATTTAATTGATAAACAGAGGCCGGCAAGAAGTCCGAAACTGCAAAAAGAGATCAAACATGCCTTATTTAAAGGTGAATGAATGAATATGATGGAGTTTTCTCTTCATCAACATAAAAATTATTTGTTGAAGTAATAAAGTCATTGTCTGTAGAACAATGAATCACGTTCTGTTCTCCTCTTCATCTTTCAAGTAATACTTTTTTTTGAAAGTATTATACATTGTTCCATTTGTATGCTGCTATGAAGAAAAATACAAGTAATGGCTTTCAATGCAAAATAAGCAGCTGCCTACTTTGAAAAAAACAAAACGATTAAGTGTCCTGTTTCAAAGTGTTGATTGTACATGTTGAATGTTTCTTGAAATATTTGCAGGCATGCGAGGTTTGTTTGTAAATAAGCATCACATGTGTGTATTGCAACATAAAAATGTTTTTTTTTAGTCTTACGGACCATGAACTATTATCTTCAAACGATCATCTTTTTGTTCGTCATATTACCCATATCTGCTCAATCGATTATTCTCATACCTCCAGAAAACATCAAAGTAACGTATAACATCAAATGTTATTCGAGCAAGACTCCTTTAATACGTGATGATTATCAACTATGTGCTTTTCGCTTCTATGACGCTGATGACATTTCGCATCAATCCACGGGATACATGATACGTGATGGCATTTGGTATACTAATACATTTCGACAATTACTCAAGCGTTGCCATGGATTTCCAGCAACATCTGATGTTGGTATCGGTATTTGTCCCCCGTTACCGTATGAAAATTTTCAGAACATGACAATCTGTATTTGTGCAGAAAATCTCTGCAATATTGATTTAGCTACTTGTAGAAGTTGGAATCGAAGGGTTTCTTCATTCCAACCATTGGCAACTGTTCTAAGCGATCTGTCGAATCCTATAACCTGTTCTGGACCAGAAGATATATTGTCATTATCGAAACTATGTACGGAGCATCCGTTAATTAACACTTCACATTGCATGAATTATATTAGAAGCAACAGTGTACTCTGCAGTATAAGTATAATAGACAGTGTGATCATCCAAGAAGCACTGATTGCCGATAATTATGAACGTATTTTAATCGAACAATATCACGAAGCACATCTGTCGGGTATAGCTTTTTGGGTTAATGTCAAGAAGACTTTTGTGATCTTTACACACATAGCTCCTCTTTCTCAGAAGGAGATCTGTGTCTGCAACACATTTCCAAATTGTAATGCAGATAGTAACACATGTAAATCAATGACGGCCCCAACTACAACCACAGTATCCATCACATCCACAAAGCTGTCAATATCATCAGCATACAACAACTCGACAGCCGAAATTATTAGAATCTCGACCATTACTAATTATGCCGATACGACCTCTTCGGTGAGCCCATCATCTTCGACAACTACAGCAACAGCTTCAGCATACGATCAGTTGACAGTGGAAATTATTCGAAGCCCGACCACTACTAGTTATACCAATATGACCTCTTCAATGAGCCCATTATCTTTGACAACTGCTGCAACAGCATCAGCATACACTAATTCAAAAGCCAAAATGATCAGAATTTCTACCACTACTAATTACATCGAAATGATGTCTTCGGCGAACCCCTTTTCTTCGACAACTGTAGTAACAACATCCAAAGAAATCTCTGCTACGAAGATTGCCAATACACAAAGTAGCCTATCTCTAAGTGACATTTTCCTATAATTTGAGTTTTGTTTGTATTCTATCTAGTCTATGAACCAAGAAAAGGCAGAACAGGTCTCGGACTTGCGACCATGGCCGGTATCATATGTGGTATCAGTTTCTTGGCTTTGATCATCATCGTTGGAATTATCAGATTAAAAAGATGCTATGCTGATGGTCGTGGTAGATATCAACTTGTGCCTTCTGAAGCATAAATTATCGCGTTTTAAAGCAGAACCTATTTGAACCTCAAAAGAAGATGTTTGCTTGATTTTTATTCTCATAAAAGTTTTTAATGGGACTCATTTCAACTATTAGCATATAATTCACGATAAATTTTATTTTTCATATGAAAGTTTTCAATATGTTGCTTTTTTTCTAAATTCGCACGACATGCTATTTAGACTTGACAAACTGCAAGAAGTAATTGTTCAGAAGTCCTGCTTCACTTGATGCTATCTGTTAACAAATTTATCCGATAAGCTTTGGTATACGCATATATACACGGATGAAAATAAGACCCACATCCACACCCACATAGGAACGATGTTCAGTGAACAACTTGCCCTACTCGAATAGTTGAAAAAGTTTCAAGTTTTTCCATATCCAACTAATCTACAAAGCGTTTTACTAAATTTCTCAGATTAAAAAATAATTACTACAAGCATTTTAATTTTATTATTATTATTATTAGATAGTATAATGTAAGTTCATGATCGAAGTACCCATCTATTCACCGTATTATATTGGCCTACGAGAACTATTTTATAGAAATCTGATGGATATCCTTTTATATCAATGATAATCATGTTTTTCTGTATAGGTACTGTTTGAATTAAATCGTAATTGTCTGTAATACCATATTTATATGAATTTGTAGTTGAAAGCCACACGTTTACATTTCCAGTAGGATCTAAAACTGTCCAACTAATTTGTAAACTAACATTATGCAACTTGACATCTGGTTTTATTAATGATACTTTTCCTGTTAATGATACTCCATCTAATTCTCTTTCAGATTCAATTGGAATTTTGAGACCTATCGATTTTGCGATTGTTGGATATATATCAACTATGGCAGGTTGAAAATCGCGAAAATAAGTATTCGTTTCTTGACTATTTGTTATTATCCAAGTTGTTCTCTCTCTATCAGTTTGATCACCATGCCATATGCCAGTGCTTGGATTTCTGCCATGTTCTGTCGTAATAATGATTAACCAATCTTCTTGATAATGTTTCATTCTGTAATCGATAGCTTCCCAAATTTGCCCTATTTGATGATCAACATTATTGACTGCTTGTTTGAACTGTTCACTGTCTCCAAATGTATGTCCTACGTCATCGGTATACTGCAAATACACCCATGAAAGATCAGGTGCATACATTTTGATACATGCTGAAGTTTCATTAGTCACACGTTGATCAATGTCAAAAATAAAATGGTTATCTGGATCATGAGGATAAGTAATCTGATCGAGTTCATATCCATCAAACTTATAATCGAATGTAATATTACCAGCGATAGCTAATCCTTCACCAATGAGTTTAATACGATTAGCTGTCCAAGTTGAGAAAATAGCAATCTTTTTATCAGAATAATTTTCTTTAAAGAGTCGAAAAATATTTTTATAATGATAATTTGGAGAATTAACATCATTATCGTACACATTGTGTTTATTAGCCCATGTACCAGTGAGTAGATTCATATAACCAGGTGCTGAAATAGTAGGCGTTTGCGTATAAGTACCATTGTCACCTCCAACATAAGCTCTTGTATAGCTTCCAATATCTTGAATCTTCTTCATGTTTGGAATTGAAACAGTTTCTATGACATCTGCAGGAATACCATCCACGATTATAAACAAAACTTTTCGGTGAGTTGATTCTTGTTTATCTGGTCCTACTCCAACTCTAGCGATAATTACTATTAATGCAATCAAAGCGCCAATAAATATTGTGATCAAAATTGCTAGACCAAGTATTGTATTCATTTTTCTATTCTTGAATACGGAACAATGTTTCTCTGCTATGGAGGAATTTTCTCCTGAATAACCTTGCACTGGAATTATTTGACTCATGATCGAGAATTTTTGCTATTTTCAACAAATGAGTCGTCTATGATCTAAAATAATGAATGTCTTTTTTAATTACACTTGGTTAAAGTTGAGAAAACTCTGTTGAATATAAATGAATTTTTTTCATCACATAAAATGAAAACGGAGGCTACCGACAGAAAGAACGATATATGGCGTACAAAACTCGATTGTTATTTGTTTAGGATGTTGTATTTGCCAAGTTGATCGCGTTCTCTTGATTTTGAGTTGTTTTATGCAGGCTCCTCGAAAATAGCGAGGGAGAGGGAGAAGAGAAGTAGTAAACTACTTCAATACTTACAAATACTGTATTAGTAATTATCAAAACAGTGTCAAAGATCATCAAATTAATTGTTACTTTGAGCTTAGTGTATCAAGAGATACACGAATGTGATATGCTATCACTTGTATTTGATATCATCCTTACGTTATGTGACTCTTATTTCATACCATCTCTAGTACAATGTCATCCTTATATCCATATGTAATACTACTCAGAATGTTCAATACCATTGTAATTGTTCCGCTATGCATTGTTCTTTTTCAATACTTGTGTAACCGCTGCACTATATCCCGTATATATGCTCGTTGTTCTTTTTTGATGAGAAGGCTAGATTGAAGGAGATAAGAGAACAGTAGAGGATATAAATGGTTGATGATAGTGAGAGTGTGCAGAGTGAGATCGAGCAACGTAACACACATGAGTGAGTGATGTGTATAGTGGTGTAAGAATTTATATGTAAACAAGAGTAGTGTTGAAATAAAAGATCAACTGATAGCACCAAGTAACGAAAGTGTACTGAAATCAAAAGAAACAAAGACAAAGCCAAGAAAACAGTGTTATATCAACAATTTTCCGTTACACTTAGCTAGAAAGTTTTTTATGAAATCTTTTTCTAAATCATTCGTTTTTACAGTTCAGAAAAACATAGCGTTGGATAGAGTATGTCTCGATCTATCAATAGTACCATTGCAACTTGACTTAAATAGTTACTATTACTGAAAAAAAAGCAACTTCAAATATATTGTTCTTATTATTTTTAAAAGCTGTATAATTATTGTACTATAATCGAAGTAGTATGACTCAAAAAATTATCTACTAAGATATAATTTAATCAATCGAAATCAAATTCGTACAAAGTAAATCATTGAACTACTTCCCGTCTAATTTATTTGCAGAATGTTCGATACAATTAAGCCACTTACAAGATCTGTAATATGATAACAAATTCTTTTATAACACTATTTTACTGATGTATTAGTTACAATTGAAGTATATATAATCTCTTATCAAGCAAGTTACTTGACTGTAAGTCGATGTTTATAGCATTTTATTACCAATGTATATCAAAATTACGGTCGTAAGTAGTCGTTAAGTATATTTTCATATGCTTGATGCATTAAAATATCAAGCATTAGTACATAGTTGTCATAAAGTATTATTCAGTATCTTGTATGCCTATTATATACAGTAGAAATGTTTGTCAATTCTTAGTGTTTGACATAGTTAAAGTTTATCAAAACTCAAATCATCAAATATTTTTTTCAGCGAATGAAAAATAGTGTAAAGAACCTAACAAATATGAGAACTGAATTTCAACAAAAAACTAATTAAGTCAAGAGTATTCGAATTAGAATCAAATCAGAATGTTGATGTAGGTCGAGCAACCACAACGCATTTCGGCCTCACTTGAGGGTCTCATCAGATAGTTTTTACTTAGGCTATGTTTAACTGATCTTTAGATCACAAACAAGATACGAAATCTAGTTCTAGTCTTCACAGGTCCTGTAAGGAGACACAGGCGATATGGTTTTCACAATAGAGTCAATGCGATACAATTGGTATATGATCCTGGCTAAATGAATAATAGGGTAGGGTAAGATTTTTATTGATCATGTTTATTATTTAGGATTAAAAGACTGATAGCATAATCCTTCTGTTAACAGAAAACATTTAGGTTATTAGTAACATGAGTTTTATAAGTAATCTATGAAATCAATTTTTACGACAAATGTTCTTAATGATTCATTTAGATGGACCTCTTTCACTATTTCTGTTCATGATCGAACGCAGTTTCGAAAAATATTACAAAAATAATTTCTAATGAAGAAGTAAGTTATTAAATGAATATGCTGATTGACTAAAATTTAATTGATTAAATAAACTATTAAAATAAATACTCATTGCTTACCTATGCTAAACAACAATATTCAATAACATTGACACATTTTAATTAATTATAAAAATATTTTAGAACAAAGTTTCTTTCAATCAATTGATGAATTCAAATTCAATATACTATTTATTCATAATTAATAATACAATTCGATATTGATACATTCGACTCGAAGAGACCTATCGATGAGTCTCATCATATTTTAACAAGAAGCTTAAAAGAAAAACATTTTCTTTTCCCTTTTTCTTAGGTAGCAGGTTACACATTGTGTGTCATCTGCTCTATCTTCATTATTTTTTGAATCACTTAGTGCATACAATGATGTTTCTCATTAAAACAAACAAGACAAAAACAGATTTTCACAATCAGAACTAAAGATTTTTGTTTTCTTTGCTGTCGCCAAGCTCGCTTGAGACAGTACAGAATATAAAGATCAATGAGTGAATTTATCGAAGGACAAATGTACACAAAAATGAATCTGTGAGAGCTATTCTGTAATAAAATCGAATAGGATTGAATATCTTAAGGTAAAATAAATAAAAGTTTTATTATTTTAAATCAAATATATTTCATCAATGATATCAATTGATAAATCAGAAAAATTATTTATTAAAAATCGAACAACACCATTAATAAATGGACATATTTATAATTTTCTAAATCAAAATGAATATTTACCAATAATCCCCATAGAAATTCTTATTCTATACAAAAAAGAATAAATGTATGAGCATGATCAAACAATAAATAAATCTGTTTGTCTTTTAAATTATAATTATTTATTTTCACTAGATCATCAACATCGTTTATGTTTACTATTGAAATCAATATCAATCAAATGATGAAGATTGATTATTTTTAATGCAAATTAATAATTCACAATGTTTAGTTTCGACTGATCAAGTTACATCACAAACTGCTAAATAATGATCAGAAATGCAAGTCAACTATAGATTGAATTGAAAGAACAATATTCTATTGAGAAGATAAAAACCTATTTTACGCTAATAAAAGCTTTTACCACAATATTTACAAAACGAAAATGTGAAACGTGATATAGACTGGGAGTCATTATAAATTAGGTAATTCTTCAACGCTTGGTCCAGTGTATCAATTCTATGGTACTGTTAAGTTATGTCCTTGATGAACTATCGTTAATAATAATATGTTACAAGGAGTTCGAAATGAAAGACGAATGGCACATATATTAAATTCAGTTTATTTTCATAATAACCCCATAATTGAGTTTAGTGTCGTTTTTATGTCGACGATGACCTATGAAGGAAAAGAAAAGCAGTACTGCTCAGGTGTTTTGTGATGTAATGGTGTCACCACAACAATAATTCTTGAGATTTAAGCTCGTCACCTAACCATCTCTGTCGAAGGGGCAGAGTGGTTCCTAGCCTCCACCTGATTAAGCCACAACCGAAGTGGTACCTTAATCATGGATGTCGCAATTTATGCGGAAGGAAGCTAAAATTTCTATTCTTTATACTTCAACACTGCCATTAGACCATGTTTTACAAAATAGACTTTGAATGCTTTTGATACAGCTTAGAAACCAATGTATCTTAAATTTGAAAGAACTTTTTACACGTACTTTCTAAATTTTTGACATTATAGATGACGAAAGGAACATAATTTATACAAAATTGATTGATATTAAAAGTGAATATCGTATTGATTTTTATGATAATCTCAAGTTTAAAAAGAAATCGGTTCTATAAAACTTTACAATTACATAGTGCAAAGAAGTATAATAATAAATGATCGTAAATACATTTCTTTCATAAGAGTACATACTTAATATTATGTTGCAAAGATTCAAAGTGATAAGGAACGTACTACTAAACTAGATAATTCTTTAAAAAATGAAATACATATTGAAAGGATGATTTATTATTAGATTTGACTTGGCTTCTAGGTTTCTATTCTATTAGCTATCTCGAACTCGGTTCATTTTTCGATACGTTATAGAGCTTACTCATTTCAGTGCATATACAAGATTTCAGTTCGAGATGGTGACGAGTTGAAGAATGGCTCTCGAAACACTGATATGAGTCAGAGAAGCCATTGTTGACAGATGCGTCTTTCACCACTCGTTTTGATCCCTCTACCAACATACAAGTGAACTTTCACATATGCTCTTTCTTTAATTTGAAAGTTAGCGTAGACCATCATCTATCTGAGGACATTTGAATCACGATGAAGTGTAACATAGATCTGGCATTCATTCAGAGGTCTGAGACATAAACACATTCGCACCAAGATCACTCTTGCATCATGTTCTTCTATTATAGTCTTGTCTAAAACGAAGTTCAACTCTTCCTTCAATTGAATTTGAAATATTATGTTGTTTTTGCGCAATAAAAACCAAATACACTCATTTGGGCTGATACACAATCGTATAAACAACCATTGTGAGTGCAAACAAATGAGGAAATGCGTGCAGAAACAATGTTTACGTGTGAGCAAAGAAAAAGGAAAATAGTATCAAAACTTGTTTACTACCAATAAAAGATATCCAATGGAACATTTTATAGCTATCTCCTCAATAATAATATCTTCAATATTAGATAAGTGCATCATACGTTTTATCATATTAATCATATCATCTAGTGATTTAATCATATTATTCAATCTGATAACTCGAATAAATTCACTGTATAGATCTATTGCTTTTATAGCTTTTAAGTGCTATTGAAATTTTTCAATAATAATTGGTGTTGCATATTCGTATGCAGTATCTAAAGACGTGAAATAAAAAAATATAGTACATTAGCATGAATGACAGCAATCATGAGTTGTTCGTTTAGTTTAGTAAAAGAACACATTGAAGCTTACTCTTTTACCGTAGAGAAGATAAATGTTTTAGCTATTTCCAAATTGAACAACAAGAAAGAATTCGATACTTTTGTCGCCTTATATATATCGAGTACATTAGTAAGATATATATCTAATAATTTTTCAATCAAAATATTTAGTTGAATCCAATAGATTTATTGAGCAAAATATGTTTCATCAACATATAGTTCAATTTATATTTTCTTGACAATACAATTTGTATTAAAAATTCATCAATATCTAACACAATTTTTCTGTAAAATCTTCTATCCTATCAATGATTTTTTTGATCTAAGATAATAGACATTTAAAAATCAAACATGTTCCATAGTAACATCAATTTGTTTGTTAACTTACCTAATTCATGATAAATATTGATGAAACACATTAATCAAGGGAGAAAATGACAATAAACTTCTGTAGCATATTTTGATTCAAACATTTCACCGTTGAATAATTGTACATCTGATTTATTTATCAAGGTTGTCAATATACTTGATGTTATTGATGGATTAAAATCATATCTTATACTACCTTCAGCAGTACCATGATCAATGACACTAATACAATTTTGAATAAGTACTCTTCCTTATTCAAAATGATTTTACATATGCTGCCAATATATTATCACGTTTAATTATTCGTGGATAACCTAAGAAAATGTTATGGAAGATAACATTTTGTTTAGTTACATTACTTGTCAATTTTTTCAAAAGCTCACAGTTGAATTATATGTGTTCACATTCTGTCTCTAATTGTTCTTCATCTTCTGGTGTAACGAATACTACGGCATTATAAACAGCTACGATTGGATTTGGTTTGTCATAGAAATGACCATGAGTGATATATTTAAAGTTTTTCACAATTGAATGTAAACACTCAATGCTTTTTGGACATGGATTAGTAACTAAATCAGGTTCAGCAAAAAAATAAGGCAAGTTGAAGGAGTGCAGTCGATAAAGTGTAACTTGAACGCTAAATATCAACGAAGAAATTAATGTAGATTGATATTAGATGTGTTACAATGACGTCAATCAAACTTAAGTTAGTCAATCTAACTGAGTTTCTTTAATTAACATTTAACACTAAGTACTAGCTTGATAAATTGTTATCTAGGGTAACTTCATAAGTTAGAAATTTTAATAAATTAGCTAACTCCTCAGTGCATAATATTATCGGAAAAGTCACATGATCGAATTCCAAACTGAAATTTTGTCTACTGATAAGTGGTATGGTCGCTTGAAATTATCGAAAATTCGAGTCAAAAGAAACTCATTCTTACGGAAAATTTTAACTTATCATGAAAATATATTTGGAAATCGATAACTGTTTAAAACGTGAATATCTCAATAAGAATGAATTCATTTTCACTCAAATTACGAGAATTTTCTAACAACCGTAAGATCTATTTATAAACAAATTTCAGCTCGAAATTTGAGCTGTGGGTGTGGTTGCAGATGGACTTTGATAAATCAAAAATCTACACGCACACCCTTCGACGAGAATCGATATATAAACGCATATGTTGTAAAAACAGACGTACATTACTTCCTTTTTATTTGAGTTTTTTATGAAGCACTCTAGCATCTTGGCCTTAAATCCCTAAATACACACTTCACTCATCTCGACAATGTATATGAACAGAATAATTTTTTTTCGTCATATTATTATTTTAGCATAACAACAGAACGAAACGAAGTTGATCAGTAAAGATATGAGCAATTATGTTAATATTCTAAGAACTATAAATTTCTCTAATATTTTAATAGCATTTTTATACGCAAGCAGGTGTCAGTATTTGTTGTTTCTTCATACCTCCCACATCCATTTATATGAGATTTGTTGTTCAACAGAACACTGCTGATCATCTTGTTGTGAATGATGAAAGTCTAAGTCTCCTAAAAAATAGACTGTTTGATCAAATTGTCAAATGCAGCTTGTTCTCATTAATAGATAGGGACAAAGAATATATTATCGCATTTCTGCTGTTATTTTATGTTTTTTTAGTGTTATCAAAAGCTGAAAATAAGTATAATATTGTTTCGTTTTCTTCTCTTTTTTATGCACTCTTCGAATGAGTTTTACATATCGCCTACATAATTTAATTTAAGAAAACCAAGAAAAATCACAGTTATGTTGAAAGAATGATGACATTTTTCATAGGAGACAAATGTTTGACAAATAGACGGAAGAAAATATCAAGTGAATTATACTGAAGAGCTAAATCTAAAAGCAGCCTATATCTTCCAGAAGAAATGAAAACGAGAGGCTGACAAGGAATCGACATAGGATAAAGTAATACGAACAAGACGAACGGAGTCGACCATGTAATACCAAAGTTTCATTCTTCGATGTGAAACTTTTGGCGTTTTCAGTGCATAGAAAAGCAGTTATTTTGATACCAGGTTTGGCTGCCTATAAACACAAAAGAGTAATAAAATCTTTATGAAAGTAAAATCATAAAAGGAAAGAGGAAAGCTATTAAATCGTATTTATGGACTTTTATCTACATATTTGAAGACATATTTTCACAGTGGTTGAATCAGTGAAACAATCATGTCCAATCCTTCAAAGACGAGTGATACGCCTAATGTTAATGGGTAAGTTAAATATTCAACAACTTTGAAGAGATCGACTATTCATGACTATATAAGTGAGAAAGACTTTTAAATAGATCGGAAGCGATAAATGAAATTCTTCAAGTAGCAGCAGTTAAATTAAACATAAATCAAATTTGACATTATAGAGAAATGTCACTAAATATGTTTGTTTAGTCATCAACTTAGTCAACCTTCTCCACAAAAACGGTTGGTTGTATTGCTATCGGTATTCTTCGGTGTTCTCGCTGGTCTTTTTCTTGTGACTACAATCATGTTGGGCACCTTGTATGGTATTGAACGAAATAAAGCAATCAATAATGAAACGACAATAGGTATTTGTTAAAGAAATCTCATCTTGTGGAGATCACTGGATTAACACTTGAACTATGAATATATATTTTAGTGGATCGTAATGAATTATGTTTGAGTCCGCTTTGCATCAAAGCAGGTCAGTCTGCTTAATGAGCAAAACAAATATAATGTTACCTTTCTAGCGAACTATCTGCTTGAGAGTATTGATGAAACAATTGATCCGTGCGAAAATTTTTTTGATTTCGCCTGTGGTACATGGATAAAGAATGCTAGAATTCCAGATGATGGTAAAGCCTTTTTTGCCGTCTGTGATCGCCTAGATCATAGATTTCAAGTTATTGTACCTATCCTTTTCAGCCAACACTCACAGCACAACCAGAAAGTTACGAACTGAATTGAACAATATTATTAGCGGTAGGAAATAAATCATCTTTGTTTTTCATTTCCTCTTTCACTTTTTCAGATCTTCTTTCATCGTCACCATCGAATGGAACCGTTGAACTTAAGGCAACCATGAATGCACGCCGTATGTATGCTTCTTGTGTTGACGAAGATGGTATTGAAGCTGAGGGTATTGATACGATACTCTCGTTTGTCAATACAGAACTTGGTGGTTGGCCTATTTTGCAAGGTTCTACATGGAACAATGCAACATTTAACTTTTCTCGTATATTACTTAAATTAAATGAATATTGGAGCAGTGTACTCTACAATATAGGCACACAAATAGATTCGAAGAACTCATCGTTTCAAGGCATTCGAGTGAGATAGTAAACTGTAAACTTGTACCAATAATGAATATTGATGTTGTAGATCAGTCAAAATAGTCTCGCTTTAGGGGATCGCAATTATTATCTCAATGATAGTGATGTTACTAGAGCCTATCAACAATTCATACGAGATTTAGCTATGGCGTTGACTAATGATACATCAATGGTTGATGATGATGTCAATGCTATATTTACGTTTGAACAGTTAATTTCTAAAGTGATACTTTCCTCTTGTACATGCTCTCTGTCATACTTCTTTCTCCATAGTACGTTTGGACATCAAGCGAACAAAGTGCCCGTGAGAAGGAAACTATTCGAACAACAATCAATCATCTCTCATCTGCAATCAATACTAGTGTAGGCATTTCTTTTAGTTTTAAATACTTTTCATATTTCCATTCAGTTTGACTTTCTCGGCTATCTTCGTGAATTTTATCTCTTGGCAAATATCACTCTTCTCGATACAGATATTGTTACTGTGAGTGAACTAGAATATTTACGTAATGTTTCATTGATTATTAATCAACAATCTTCACGTACTCTACAAAACTATATGGTCTGGCGTTTCATGATGAGTCAAGCATCGAATATGCCCAAGCATTTTCGAACTATTAGACAACAGTTTGATAAAGTCTTTCAAGGTATAAATACTGAACCATCACGTGCCATTGTATGTGGAGAATATGTGAATAACATTATGGGTTTTGCTGTTGCTAAACTCTATATAAATGAATATTTCGACCAAAATGCACGCAATCAGGTATCTAAAACAATAGTGGATTTACAACTCTTTTTGATTTTCTGACAGTCTCTTGAACTAATTGACAATATTCGAAATGTATTCATTGATATGGTCAATCAGTCGACATGGATGGATTCTGTCTCAAAAAGCAAAGCTATTGAAAAAGTAAGATAACCATAAATCAACTCTTAATTTCTCAATATATGCCATATGATACAGGCTAGAGCTATCAGAGAAAAAATTGCCTATCCTGACTACTTGAATGATGATAATATAACAAAACTCGAGGAAATTTATGCCGAAGTGAGAAATAGAACATCTTTTATTATTATGAATTATCATCTATTGAACTTTCTCTCCTAAATCTAGCATAATTTCAATTCATCTTTTATGAGAAACTTCTTGCTCATGCTTCATATAACTACAAAACGTAATCTTCGATCTCTCCGTCAACCAATCGACCGCACGACATGGGAATTTCCGCCAGTTATTGTCAATGCCTTTTATAATCCTTCACTTAATGATATTTGTAAGATAAATTCCTTAATAATACAGCATCATAACTTTGTCTCTCTTTAGGTTTTCCAGCTGGAATCCTTCAACTACCGTTCTTTCATAAAGATGTACCTAAGTAAGACCACGTTTTCTTTAGAAAAAATATCTATATTTTCATATTAGGTATCTCAATTATGGTGGTGAGTATTGATTCAGTTAATAGAAATGGGGAAACATTTACATCTAATTGAGGTATTGGCATGGTCATGGGGCATGAAATCACACATGGTTTTGATGATGAAGGTCGACAGTTTGATAAGGATGGAAATAGGGTGAGCTGGTGGACTAATGAAACAATTGATGCGTTTAATCAACGCAAAGAGTGCATAATCAAACAGTACAGCAACTACACAATAACTCAAGTCAATCTTCAGGTTTTTCATTCTGTTATAGTTTTTTGACGTAAGTTCGTTTTTGTTGTTCAGCTAAATGGTGAACAAACACAAGGCGAAAACATTGCGGATAATGGTGGACTGAAAGAAGCATTTTTTGTACGTTGTTCTATACGTTGATTCAAACTCAAATTATACAGACTTTGTAGGCCTATCAAAAGTGGGCTCAAAACCATCCAAATGCTGACAAGAAACTGCCAGGTCTTAGTAAATATTCAGTAGAACAATTGTTTTTTCTTAATTTTGCTCAACAGTGGTGTATGAAAGGTACAGATCAATTTTTCAGAAATCAAATTAAATTAGGTGTACATTCGCCTTCTCGATTCAGGTTGAGTATTTTCTAGAATCCTTTATGATCACTTAAAAGAAGGTTTTTATATAGAGTGATTGGTTCTACATCTAACTTTGTCGAATTCGATCGAGTGTTTGGTTGTAAGCCAGGTCAAGGCAATAGTCCAGTGAACAAATGTTCTGTGTGGTGATATTTTTATTAGAGTTTCAATCACCTGCCTCGAAGAAGATAAGAACAAATATGCAAGGTTTTGTTTTCTTCAGTGTTTTGTCTTTGTCTTCTTTCTTACTGTTACATTCATGTCTTCTTTATATATGATTTGTATGTATCATATTAGAATTAGTTGAAAACGAGACTTTTTAACTCTCGAGAAAAAATGCTCTGATTGCAACATTTAAAATCATCAAAATCAAGATTGTTTATTGATAAACACTTGCGATACAAGATAAGAATAAAATAAAGAGTTTCAATCACTATTTTTTTGTATGTTATATAACGATGATTTTATCGATGAAGTCATAGTCGCATTATCATATTCAAATCGACAGTTAAAACAAAATTATGTTTATATGAATATACATTATGTCATTTGAATATCATCATTATGTAGCAATGCTCATAACAGAAGATATTTATGAAAATGGTGATCGTCATTGATATCTGAAGCAGAAAACAGTATTACTATGAAATAAAAATAAATTCATAGATCTATAACCAATTAATACAGCGCTCTACAACTGTCACTTTTTCATTATCTGTCAGATCGATATTAAACAGATATCGACAATTTTTCTTCTTCTAATAATTGATTTTCTTCATCTTTTGCCATAACATAAACAAAATTGTCTACTGATTCATTCACATCTGAAACTGAATGTATTCGAACGGATCATTGATATTTTTGTTTCGATCAAAGGCATTAATTAATTTGTATTAATATCAAATCAATTTTTTTATTTTAAGCCTGCCGATAGATTTTATAAATGATATTCACGTCTGACAAAAAATAAATTCAGTATACCTTTTCATTCTTTTTTTGTCGATCAACGTTTATCAAGAATATCAAATGAGAATAATCAACGTTCAAAACCATATGACATTTAATTACGATTATACATTTCTGCACCAAGTTATGATGAACCGCAATTCAGATGTAATAAAACAAAAAAAAGTAGAAGGTTTTAAATAAAAATCTAATACAGAATAAAAATGTGAACAATTACCAAACCATTCAAATGAATCTTTCGTTAAAGAATGTTTATCCTAATATGATTGTTTTGATAAGTATGCCATTTGGAAGAGAGATTTTTCATTATTTTATATTTTTCAAAAAAACACAACAATTTAAAAAGCTATTGGGAACAATAAAACTAAATACTCTTTCTGAGTGAAAACTCGGATACAACTTTGAATAATACAAGCTGTTGATGAATTGAAATTACTATAAATAAGATCTATGATGATTGACAGACGACCTTCATGACACAAGAATAGGTCCCCATGTAGCTAAATCATTTTGAGATAACGATTGTGCTAACCAGACATCGAAAAAACTTGCGTAATATCGAAGAGAAATGATAATATTTCATTTCATTATTAAAAAAACTCACTATTGATCTTGAAAATAATCTCTAATATTGTCTTTATCACTATATGGACAACAATAAGAACGAGAATGATACTAAATAACGTAGTAAAAAGAACGAAATACTAAAACGTAATGAATTGTGATCCATATAGAAGAAGAGCAAACACTGTATAGAAAAAAACCATTCATTCGTAGCCATGAGCGGTACAAGATCGTTTTTTAACCGATCAACGTATTTTGTTACTTCATTTCTCAATAGTGAACATTTTAGTAGCAAAGTTTTTATCGGTTGAATTTAATTTTTCTCCAAGGCATCATATATGGAAGCTTGATTATTGCATCATCTAACGGTGTATTACGAGCTTTACATTAGTATAAGGTTTTTTTTATTAAAAAAGAAGTTATACTCAAAACAATTTACGAAAAACTCAGATCTTTTTTTTTCATCCCGTTCCACTTAATGGTTATCATGTAAAGATTTTTCTGAAATTGAAGCAATTCTTCTGTTCTTTGAGAAATTACAGACCTAACAATCAGCTGATTATGGTGCTCATGATTACGGTCAGGTTAGTTTTACTTTCAATCGAGACCCTGTATTTTGTCGTGATGGTTTCAACAGCACCCTAATATAGGGAAGAGTTGCAATATTCTGATACCGAAATAAGTCTTTTTTCTCTTGTTTTGATGGTAGACCAAGCGTTTTGATGAAGTAATTTATCATTTATTCAAATCATAGAATCAAGAGTAATGACTGACATTTTCTCCAATTCTGCAGTTGTGCCAAAAAGAGACACAATAGATAGACTCCGATTTAAAATTATTCATAAACTAAACTAAACTGGAAAGAGTATCAAGTGTCAAAGCCCTACATATCTTTGACACTGGCACTTTCTACTTTGACGTTTTTAAGCTGCAGAATGAAATATCTTTCAAGAGAAGATCTCAGCATATGTATATTTCAAAGAGTTTCTGTTTGTGAAAGCACATTCTCGTGAGTATTTAACGATGTAAATAATGCGAAGAATTTTTCTCTCGAAAATCTGCACACAAGACCTCATGTGAATTTCTCCATTGGAAATCGATAAACTTTTATATTATGAGGTAATTTAACAACGAAGCATTCATCCTTGCTGCTACTAGTAAAATAGGTTCAGAAAAAACATTAAGTTACTCTCCATTGAATTTTCTCAATTCTTTTTCAGAAAATCATTGTTTTCTTTTTGAGCTGCAACAAAGGAGAAAAACTATTACATAATCAGATGATTCTCCTGAAGAACAAAAATGGTCTTATTTAAAAATATGTAAAGAAGATCTCCTGAAAGAGCTGAAAATATTAGCAGAAAAAAGTTCTTTCTTTACTATATTTAAAATGATAAACCCACCAAAAGTACAAATTACTTTTCTCATGACATCTCAGATTCTTAGCTGAAATTATTAGAATAAAAAAATCGTTTTGGACAGTCCATATGAATGTCATCGTCGTCTTTCGACACACAAAGTCGACCAGTACATGATTGTAGTCTTTTTCAGTATACACATCACGACAACCATCAATACAACAAAGACAAAAGCCATTCTCAACTCATCACAGTTAAAATCTTTACTTCTACTAATACATAGTTTCAGTTATATCCATAAATAATTTTGTATTCCTAAGACTCGTATTTATTTCAATCCTCAAAAGTATAGATACATAACCTTGACATGTGCGCATACAATCATAAACGTGTGAGTGTGGCATAAGTGTATGTGTGGGATGTGAGTGTGGATGAGGGGTAAATAAAGAACATCCACACCTGAAATACAGAAATATTTTTTTATTTATTTTTTATTAATCATAAAAAACAAAGCAGCGTGCTTCAATGCTAATCTGTTGAACATCAGTAGCAGGAACATGTTCATTGATAAATCCTGTATGAGCAGCAAATTTGGCAACATTTGGGTTGCTGTCAAAGATTTTGAAGACAAGCATTTCGTCCGATCGCATTTCACTCAAATAGTACCATTTTTGAGCATCTTGAGCATTGTGCGAGACTACATAAATGAAATAACTAATTGGAGATCCTCGAATTTCTGACAGATGAATATCCTTCTCCAGATCTAATGAACGATAGTCGCAAATGGTCAGAGAATTCTTTGTAATTGCGTTTGGCCCAATTGGTCTCCAGATATTGATCAGTTGAAACCGATTCTGCATCAACTTTTCCGCTTCTTCTTCTCCAAGGA